GAGGGAGGAAGGAAGGAAGGAAGGAAGGAAGGAGCTAAATTGCCCCTCACTGGCGTTGAAGTTACAGAAATGGTGCATTGCCTGCGGCGGGGACAGCCGGCCGCTCTGCCCCTTCCCCTTCCCCGCATCTTCTTATGGGTCCCTTGCCACTCACTGAAGAACGTCACAGGATTGGATTATCAGGATGCATTAGAGCAGCGGTTCTCAACCTGTGGGTCGCGACCCCTTGGGCGGTCGAACGACCCTTTCACAGGGGTCGCCTAAGCCCATCCTGCATATCAGATATTTACATGACAATTCATAACAGTAGCAACGTGACAGTGATGAAGTAGCAACGAAAATAATTTTATGGTTGGGCCACAAGATGAGGCACTGTATTTAAAGGGCCAGAAGGTTGAGAACCGCTGCCTTAGAGCTTATTGGAGCCACAGAGGACAGGCCTGGAAGCAGGACCTCCACCGGCTGCCAGGACGCCCCCACTTTGACTTTTCCCGTGACTCTCCAGTTACGCCGAAGCCGCCTTTCCTCCATTGAGCTCGCGTGGCTCCCTGTCAGATCTGATGGGACCCTCTCTGCCTGCGTCATGTCTGGGCTCTGGGTTCTGTTCCGGTGGCTTGTGTCTGTCTGCGCCAGTGATGGCGAACCTGTGACACGCGTGTCAGAGGTGACACGCGAACTCATTTTTTTGGTTGATTTTTCTTTGTTAAATGGCATTTAAATATATAAAATAAATATCAAAAATATAAGTCTTTGTTTTACTATGGTTGCAAATATCAACAAATTTCTGTATGTGACACGGCACCAGAGTTGAGTTAGGGTTTTTCAAATGCTGACCCGCCGAGCTCAAAAGGTTCGCCATCACTGGTCCACGCCATCACCATGCTGTTCTGACCACTGTAGCTTCGTGACACACCTTCAGACCAGGGAGTGTGAGGGCCCCTGCCTTGTCCTGGTTTGTGAGGATCGCCTTGGCCATTCAGTCTTCTGTGCTTACATATAAATTAGGATTGTTTTTTCTTTTTTAATATATTTTTATTGATCAGAGAGGGAGGGAGAGGGAGAGACAGAAACATCAATGATGAGAGAGTATCATTGAGCAGCTGCCTCCTGCACACCTCCTACTAGGGATCGAGCCCGCAACCTGGGCATGTGCCCTTGACCGGAATCGAACCCGGGACCCTTCAGTCCGTAGGCCGACGCTCTATCCACTGAGCAACACCGGCCAGTGCAGGGTTGTTTTTTTTACTTCTGGATACAAACAAAAAACGCCATTGGAATCTCAGTAGGACTAGCATGAGTCTGTAGATGACTTCGAGTAATAGGGGAATTTTAACCGTATTAACCCTCCCGGTCCGTGAACACAGGAATAGCTTTCCATGTATTTGTATCTCCGCTTCTGTCGCCAGGATCACAGCATGAAGATTTTCACCTGTCCCTGGTGAAGTGTATCCCTCAGTATTTTATTGTTTTCGATGCTATTTTAAAATGGGATTATTTTCTTTCTTTAGATAACTCATAGTGTATGCACACTGATGATTTTTGCATGTTAATTTTGTACCTTGATTTTATTGATTAGATCTAACAGTTTTTGGGGGGAGTCTTTAGGAATATGTATACATACACATATACATAAGATTTGTTTTCTGGCCCATGTGGCTCAATGGTTAGAGTGTTGGCCCTCACACTGAAAGGTCACAGGTTTGATTCCTGGTCAAGGTCGCCTACCTGGGTTGTGGATTCGCTCGGTTTGCAGGAGGCAACCACTCGATGTGTCTCTCTCTCATTGACATTTCTCTCTCTCTCCATCTCTCCCCTCCACACACTCTCCCCTCTGCTCTCCCCCCACCCCACTCTCTCTGAAAAGCAATGGAAAAAATACCCTCATGTGTGGATTAACAACAATTGCCATCTTCAAATAGAGACCATTTTGCTTCTTTTCCAATTCTGATGCTGCTTATTTCTCTCTCTGGCTGCGCCCTTGGACAGGGCGGCCGCACTGGCAAAAGGCAGAGGTGAGCGTGGCTCCTCCGCTGGCACCGGCCCCCGAGAAAGTTTCCAGCCTCCACCAGGCTCGCGGGGGCTTGTGGCCTTCGCTGTGGGAGGCACATTCCTCTCTCCCTGATGCCGAGGCGCTGGTATCACGAGCGGATGTGAACTTTGTCAAATGCTTTTCCTGCTCCTGTGGAGACGATCGTAGGGTTTTGTTAAGGAGGCGCATGTATCCCAGTGACCGCTGGGGGCTATTGGGTGGAACGGTCCTGCATCCCTGGAACCAACCCCACGTGTTGGTGGTGAGTGGCCCGCTCTGAGCTGCTGAGCGCGGTTTGCTATTTCATGGAGAATTTCTGCATCTGTTCGTCGGGACGCTGGTCTGTGCTGAGCTTACATCGTCCTTTTCGGGCTCTGGGTCAGGAGCTGCCGGCCTTGCGCGGTGAGTCCGGGCGTGTCCGCTCTTCCGTTCCCGCTTGTGAGCATCTGCTACCAGTCGCCTGGGGAACCACCTGGGACCTGGCCCGGGAGGGCCTGGTGGGCGGGTCCAGCTCCTGACGCGGCACTGGGTCTGCTCAGGGTTCCCGAGTCCGGGATTGGCCCTTCCGGCCTGGGTTGTCCACTGTGGGTATTAATCCACGGCAGTGCCTTAGAGCTACACACGTCCAGGTATCAGTTCTGATATTTTCAGTTTAAGATTTATCGATCTCGGTCATCTTTTTGGTAAAAAACCAGCTTAGCCCTGGCTGGTTTGGCTCAGTGGGTAGAGCGGCGGCCTGTGGACTGAAGGGTCCCGGGTTCGATTCTGATCAAGAACACATGCCCGGGTTGCGGGCTCGATCCCCTGTGGGGAGGCAGCCAATCCATGACTCTCTCATCATTGATGTTTCTCTCTCCCTCTCCCTTCCTTTCTCCCTTCCTCTCCCTTCCTCTCTCTTCCTCTCTCTCCCTCTCCCTTCCTCTCTGAAATCAATAAAAATATTTAAAAAATAAAAATAAAAACCCAGCTTAGTGTCACTGGTCTTCCCTGTTGCTCCGGCCTCTGCGGCATTTCTTCCCCTCAGTGTGTGCTGTCACTTCCTTCCTTCTGCTGAGCGTGGGCTTATTTCCGTTTTAGTTCCTTGAGGCTTGGGTTGTTTGAGCTCTTTGCTGCTTTCCTCCATGTGCGTTGATCACTGCACCTTCCCCTGTAAGAACTGCTTTTGCAGCATCCATAGGATTTGTACACCGTTTCCATGGTCACTTGTTTCAAGCTGGTTCTTGGCTCCCCTTTGATCTCCTCTTTGGAGAAGCTGTTGATCCGCAGGAGGCAGGGCCACAGGATGGGCGCTGCTGCCAGAGGGAGGAGATGCCCGGAGCCTGGGGGTCCCGCGGGAGGCGCTCTCGGCGGCCACAGCGGGGACGGTGTGAGGAACAGCCAGGACGGTGCCCTTATAACCCAGAGAATAAGATGGGTTCCCTGCACCCATAATAACAGCAATTAGACAAGTGGGGAGTGGGGAGTGGAGGGGGGTGTGGACGGTTCAATGAATGAATGTCGGGAAGTGCAGGGAAATGGCACCGTCATCGTTGCGAACAAGACGCTATACTGCGTGGGGGAGTGTGAGGGGACCTGTCTCAGTGTGTCCCCGAGATACTCGTCAGCACAGGGAGGGCAGGGACTTAGGGGAGAAGCCCAGTGGAGCGGGTGGTCTGGTGGTCAAGGCCAGCGCCACGCGGCCTGAGGCATTGACACCATGGCCCCAGGGTGCACGCGGGACCCAGTAGACCCGGTCCGGTCCAGGGAGCACCCAGGGCACAGCCACAGCCACGCGCAGGGACACTGTTCACAGTGACGGCCCGTCTGCCCAGGCGGAGGGGCCCCGGGACGGGCAGGGCCCGCAGGGAAGGGAGGCTCAGTCGGGTGTTGTTGATGGTGCTGGGCACTGCGATGCGCTCGGTGCTGATGGTGCTGCTATGGTTACGTGAATGTGAGCTGCAGGGAAGTTAGGTGACACGGATGTTAGTACTACAGCTGAGCGGTTCCTTCCCCAGCCGCCCCACGAGGCAGAGGCTGAGCGGCAGGCGCTGTGAGGTGACTGAGGCCGGGGCTGAGGGTGGGCAGGGCCTGGGGGGC